ATTATGTGGACCCGGAAGACGCGATACGAGAGAATGGTAACGTTATGGTGACGAGTTTCGACAACCCTAACTCCATCGAGCTGCCCTCACAGAATGACAAGAAGGTCATTGACACTACCACGTATTGCAAGAAGCCATCGCGACACGCACGCCACCACTCCGGCGACGGACACTGGCAGTAAGTTATTTTTGCAAGTTTATTCAGCTCGCATTTGTCTTGTTAAAGAAAATTGGTCTGTGTTGTGTTCTATGTTCAATTGTTAGTTTATCGTACTTTGCACAATGCCTATTTATTCACTTTCACTTTTTACTCTGTTGATATGAATCGCACCCTATATCTGACGTATTTTTACAATACCTACTATCTGCTTCGAGCTTGAACGCCTGGGTTTGATACTTGAGTTGGTTGCGGTAAATACTTAAGATTGAAGTCTCTCCCAGTCACTAGGAAATAATTAATGAACTAGCCAACAAACTTGTGTTACAAAACATTAATGATTTATAACCACACCTCGTTTTTTACACGTGTCAAGTCTTTACCTAATGCTTGCTTTCTGCTTAGTAGTTTCTCTGTGCATTATTGTAATAATTATGGTATAATTTACTCCATTTGGTCTACAGGACGGACGCCAACAATACAGACGACTACCGGCCCCCTGTCCCACCACACAGGAACTCGTCGACACCACAGCCACAAGTCCCCGTACCACCACGGAACCCCAACAAAGTAAGAACGAACAAAATAACAATTTTTCCCTTTGTTAAGTAAGCTTCCACTAACATATCGAAATATAATTACAGATTTTGCCCGAAACAGTCATGCCTCCCACACGACGAAACCACTCCCGAAATCACCAAAAGAAACACGACCGCGATTACGAGTCCCGACGATCTCCAGAAAATGGCCGCCGCTCAGACAGGTAACATAAACATCGCAGTTGATTTTGCTCTCTGATCTTAGACTATATGTTCATAATGATTCACGTAAAACAAATTTACTTTCCAGAATTATTGATTTAAACAAACTGGACGCCCCATATTTATTGAACCGAGACATGAAAGACTACAAACGCGACTCGAACCCGGCTCCCCTTAGAAACGACCTTGAAGATAACCCAGTGGAAAAGCTGACTGACAAAGACGACTGCGCACGACTATTTGAATTCGATAACGACGCTCCTCTAGTAATGGAGAACAAGGACTACCGAGAGATCGTTGGCCTTAACAGAGGAACCGACGACTCCCGACGAACATTCGCCAAACCCGAAAGCCCTGACTACATGCACGACTCTGGAATCGGTAATTATCACCACAAAAAACGCGTTCATTTCAACACAGGATTTCAGTACTAATAAAACAATATTTGCAGGCCTACCCGAAGTACAAATGAGGCACAAGAACAGATCCAAAGAGTCAAAAGGAGATTTCGTGGAGGCCGCCAATAAGAACAAAGGTATGTTTACGACTAAGAGCTCGTCTATACCTTTCTGGTTAGAGTTGAGTTAGTGAATAATTAGTATGGCAATTTGGTGATGCAGGCAGCAGTTCCCCGGAGGTGAAGCGCGCCACGATAGTGGGCAACCCGATGTACTCGCGCGCACAAGACGCGCTCGACGCGCCGCGTGACGCCACCAGCGACGCGCTGGGGCTGGACGACCTGCACATGGACTACGATCAGATCATGCATTATTTCCACAACCTCAAGGTATAATCGCCACACACGTCCCACAATGCTTCTAGTGTAGATGTTGCTGTCGCTTGCATCGACCCCGCTGTCACGCGTCACGTCACGCCGCCACGACGCGGCCCTGTCATGTATTGTCGTGTCTCGATGTTCGGTGTACCTTCTTATGAATGATAGAGCCTCAATTTTGATGCATTTAATATGAAATCTAGGATAATATTTTATATGAGTACTTACATTTTATATGAGTATACATACGAATGCCGTGCAGTATTATAACATAGTTATACTGTTAAGATTCATTTTAAGTAACTATTCATTATATCACACCCTGCAGCAAATTCGATATTTCGGGTGATCGCCTAGACACAACATTCCACTTCTCACCTCTTTGACCATTAATGTTTCGTCATCAACGTAGAATGCTAGAAAGCAGCTGACTCTTACCACTAGCATAGAATGTAGCCTCTAAATTCACGATTCTATCTAGAAAATCTTCTACCCTATAGATTTTGCTGCAGAATTCTGACTTATGTATTTTTAAAATTTTTCGCAGGAATCAAACGCCTGAGTAGAGCAGATCATTGCAAAGATCCGGCAGATATTGTCTACGTTTAAATATCAGCATATCATCAAAGCTCCGCCAATCGACGTATACAATGCACCCACTGATACGTCCGGGGCGGCCGGGCTCGAGGCTAGTACCATTGACTCGCACAACAACAACGCGTGCCCAGACGCGCACATTTACGAAAACGTAAGCAACGGGAACACAGTCGCACCCACACAAATGCTCTGCGACTCCATCGCTCACAAAAATAATTTCATGAAAACTCAATTGAAATTCTTGTTAGAGCACCTGAGCGAAGCTTACGAGTAAAGTTGTTGACAGTCAATGTATTACCCTCATACAATATGTGTCTCAAAGTGGATCCTTGCAGTGATCGAAATCGAAACTATACAAATTGTAACTGTTTTATACATAATAATAATAATATTATCGTTAAACGTATTTACTCTAGTCATCTACAAAGCTGCACATATTTAAAGTACCTAATTATGATAATTGTGTGCATGTAGTTAATACTCATAATATGTCAATGAATATAATAAATTATAAATATTACTCACGCAAGGTTTGTCTGTATATTGATATTATCTCCTTAAGGTATCGGGCTAATTTATTGCTGTACACTGAGCGCCGTATATCCTTGCCTACGACTCGCGAACCTTATGATATATCGCTAATGTAATATTCCCATACCAAAAAAACGTTGCATTCGTTCTAGATCTGTATATATATTTTCCACTAGAAGGTAAAAACGCTACCTCACTTTTGTCTTAACTTAGAGCTTAGCTAATGTATGCAAGTTAAAATAAAATACATTTATTTTATAATTATCTTTCGGAGCCGAATCACTTTCATTTCCCGCCTACCGTGTATTGGATAACAAAACACAATAGTTGTTATGATTAAGACTGCAAATCGCCAGTTTCTAGGGAATATAGTATTTAAGTATAGTATAAGAGATACAGAACTAGTCAAAGTATATTATTCTTATAATTAATCTGAGCTAATTTATTTGCTCAATACTATTCCACTCTCTGAAATGGCTTTTCAGTCTGCTAAAGAAATCTTATAAAATATTTGATGTAAACTTGTTCTATTAATTTATTGCTATGTGTGAGGACAGCCTAATTAAATTTAATACGGAATTACGTTTCGTTCGTCAGAAAGCACTGATTTATTAATTTATAGATTTATTTAGATATTGATAAATAAATGGTAAATATAGAATCAACTGTGTTTACTGTATAATGGTATTGAAATTCACAAATAGCAGTAACACTACACAAGTCAGTACTAACAAATGATTAAAGTTGTGATAAAATGACTGCTAGGGATTGATTTTATATGCAGTCTATTTTATAAAATAAAAAGCCATATCATATATAAATGTAACGCTTGTATGATATTGTAAACACATTATTAATTTATTGAAGATGTAAATTGCATTTACTTGTAAGTTAGTATGTTAGGCTTTGTAAATATTGTTATGACGTTATATAATTTATAGGTACTTATGGTGGAAATGAGAATGCAGAATAGAAACTATATGTGGTAGAAATTGCTTAAAATATGGACAGAGTAGAGTTGCACACAATATCATGAGATGTTTGTCTGTTACAATTGTACACTAAATAGTAAATGTTTTATCTTGTATTGTGTATTAATGTGACCCTAAATGTAATAATAGGCGCAGTGGACGAACTATCCTGTTTACTTTCAGTAACGAAGGAAGCCAGGTGTTCCGCGGAACATTGTATCAGCTTACACTGTCTTTATTCGTGAACCATAATACTCTAAAATACTAATAGCGTGTTGTTTGGCTTTTGACGTTAGGTTAGGAACGAGTCATAAGATACTAAGTACTCTACGCTGTAGTATTTGTTACTGTAATACATTTGTTTTTGTTGAGTTTTTGCCATAATTATAAGAAAGGAGTTTATAAATTAAATATTGCTACAAGGTTTAATACATGTATGCAAACTGAGGCTTGTCACGAAAATCCTTTCATGAAAATGTCAAATTTAATAAACTATTATTAATTATGCTTATTGTTTTATTTTATCTCTCTCTCTCTCTCTCTCTCTCTCTCTCTCTCTCTCTATATATCTACAAAATTGGTCCAAGACGTCCAAAATACAATTCGGATAGTAGGTAATTTTATTTTAAAAATGGCCCTATTTCTGCTATGACTCCTCCGACCCTACCCAAGAAAAATAAATGTCTTTACTGCATATGGCACCAAGAGGGATATGAAAACTTCGTTATTTTTTAGCAAGGACTCCTAGATTTTGGATTATTCCAAAATTTTCAAGCGACTTTGGACAAGGTCAATCCTTTACTACCTTTTACTCGAAAAAAATTGTATTCGTCAAACTAGCAAGGTTTTACACATTAAATTTTCGTTAGCAAATATAGTACCTAGTGGTAACAGAAAAAAACATACTTTTAACTAGAACCTCTAGATTTTCTGTACCCATTGCAAAATTATCAATCTGACAAGGGGAACATAAATCAAATTATTTATTCATCACATTATTTTTTTTTAATTGACCGTATGGTTGGATTAGGGGCTGGGCAACCACCATGGAACAACTGTTTGTGATCCAGCAATAGTTGTTCTAGGCCTGAGTATGATGTGTAAGTATGTGAAATTGTATGTTTGTAAATCACCACATGGGAGAAAGACTTACGAGTGTGGCAGTGTTTTAAAAATTAGATACTATTTCATAAAAATAAAAATCCAAATAATAACTTTTACATAAACATATATATTCACTAAAACTACTTAAAATAAGATTATTTACAAATATTTGCCGTACCAGCGATGGTCGAACGGCGACAACATCCTGTGACATCCTCCCATATTGTTCTGTATAATATACTTCATTGTGTAATAGTTTTCGTTGTTTTCTTCTAACCATTTCTCCCTCTCTGCTTTCTTCTGCATGATCTCCAAAGATATAGGTTCTGCTTTGAATGGCAATCTCTCAGCGACAATTTTTAGCATTGGGAATACCTAAAAGAAAAAAAAACATGAATTCAGATGTAATAAATATAAAAAAAATTAAGGCATATCATCTCAAAAAAGGTTAGGGATAAAGTCGTCATGGCGCATTTGAAAAAAAATTGATACATAAAAAGCTATTTATATGGGTACCTCACGAGCTTACTCAAAGAAAGCTAATGAAGCGTGTACTCATTTTTGATTCTTTATTACGACGGAATTAAACCGTACCATTTTTGAAGAAGTTATCAACTGATGATGAAAATTGGATCACGTAAGACAAGAGCGTGCGAAAAAGATCGTAGTCAATGGGCTTTACTGATTACGGAATTAATAAACGGAAGAACGGAAAAAACTATTCACTGGTTTTTTTTAAAACTTTCTCCCTCCTCACACATCTTTAGCCACACGGCAAAAATTAAGGGAGTTTGGCTGGGAGGTGTCAATGCATTCACAGTAAACTCCTGATCTTGCACCTTTAGATTTCCACCTGTTTTATTCTTTTCAAAATTCTTTGGGCTGGGTCAGGTTGAGATCACGAAAGGACCAAAACCACATGTTGCGGTACTTCAGAATGGGATCATATCCCTACAAGATGACAGAAACTTATCAAACAAAACAGTATCTACATACTTTAGTTAAATGTAAATAAATAATATAAGAAAATGTTTTAATTTTCTAAAACTAAATGGAGCTAATCTTTTTCCCAAACTAAAATATGCATTATATGAATGTGCAACCATTTGCTAAGGGTGCGATGAATAAAACCAATTCTGTAGACAAGCTTAATTCCTAAAAAACTAGGTTTTTTTTTATGGAATAGGTGGCAAACAAGCAGACGGATGGACCTGATGGTGTAAGTAAATAAATTTTTACACAGGTTTGAACTCTGAAAATTGTGTAAAATGTAATATTACATGCAGAATGGCTTCTGATGATATTTTGCCAAGAAGTCATTACATATTATTGACATCAAATTAATCTCACCTCAGCATAATCACATTTGCCTCCAACTTCAAGGATAATTCTGCCTGCTTTTATGGGAGTGACATAGTGATCAATGGCACCTTTACCTCCACCCATTCGCTGTCCCTGACCCTTTTTGGTGACAGGCTGCCAGGGTGGGTCTACTCGCCAGATAGCAAACATTCTCTTCTGGTCTAGCTTTCGTGCAACAACCAGACGGGCCATTTCAAAGTGCTCTGAACGCATTCTACCACCTCCAGTAGCCTGAAAAGTATACAATTTGTAAATTAATAAAATATTTTTGAATTGTCAGCATAGCAGCAAGATAGGTAATTTTCTCCCAGAATTTAAAGAGATTCAAAAATTTTTTGTTTGTTTTAATAGTTAATGTAGTGATGAATATTGATTTCTGATTATTGTGACAAATAACTGACATCATGCCGAGAAATTGTGTGTACATGAAAGAACCACTATAAAAGCATAATTAAAAACATATTTCATTTATAATTTATTTATTAAAAAAAAATTAACTATTCAATATTTTTTACTTACAACAACACCATATTGCTGCAGCTGTAGGTTGGTGTGCACTGTCTCTGGACCACGCATGTAACGAAGACGCTTTTGCATCTTCGGAGGCTTCAAATTGGCGGGATATGTGGGCACCTTGTCGTAAATACGGAGCCTTTGACGCTCCGGTATTTCAATATCTAAAAATATATGTTTAATTAAGTATTTTAAGTATACTCCTAAAGATTCCCTAAATATTAGCAAGTCTAAAAGTTTAGTTGAAATCATTTTATGTTATGAAAAATCATATCAAATCTAATAATGATTTGATTACTTACGGTCATAATTTTTTGGTGGTGGAAAGTATTTTATACCAGCGACAAGCACCAGTTGCGAAATCTCCGGCCGTAAGAGACCTGAAATAAGTTGATTTCTTTAAACAATGAATGAAAACCACAAAATTAAATTTATTTATTTTGTCTTTTTCGTTCATTGATAGATTTTACAATAAATCATTTGAAATAAATTCTGTACTTACCAAGAGAGACACGCAACGACTGAGCCAACATGATAAAGTTATTATTTACAATATTACTGTTAAATTAGCATTCATTCATTCTAAGTTTCTATGTTGATAGAGAATTAGGTACCTAGTTTCTTTTTGCTAAAAAGGAATAGGTTAGGATTTAGGATTTACGAAATGTGACAGCTGACAGTCGGCAGCTCTGTTCTTTTTTTTTTTTTTGGAGTTTATGGCCTGGATACGAGTCCTTTAAGCCAAGCAGCTCTGTTCTTAATTTGGTACCTACCTGTGATTATCTACATACCGGGCTTTTGGGTTTGTTCGGACCAAAGAACAGTAAAAAACTCTTCTGTGGTTTTGGCATTGAACAGTCGGATTGTGTCGTCCAACTTGTCCAGTTTGATTGTTATTTTATATTTTCAGATAGAAAGTTACTAAATATTATAAGTATACTATATATATAAGACTAATTTATAGGAAAACCTTGACATATTTACGTTTATTCAATCTTAAATATAATTTATTTTTATTTTATTTAATTTCCGAACTATGAAGACCTAGTGACATTGACAGTTTGTTGACATTTACGATTGTTTGTTGATGTTGTCAAAACCAGTCAAAACTTTTGTTGTTTGAAGTTGTCGCTTTGGTTACATTTTGATCACAAGTTACAAATTGATAAAACATTGATAACAAATTCTATTTATCAAAGGTAGATAGGACGCGATTAGTGTTCTCCGTATTTAGTTGGACAAATAATAAGTGGAACAGGCGATTAGATTATCAGTCAGTGTTAGCTTGCGAAACATATTTTGGATGTATTTGTTATCACCATTCGAAATTATTACTTTACTGAACCCATGTTCTAGAAATGAATCATATTCGAAGTGCATATTTAAGCTGCACCATATGAATTCTGTCATGAATACAACTTCTACTTAATAGTAATAAGAGATAGTTGACTTTTTAGAGAAGAACAAATATGGAGTACAGAACTATGCTTCATTTACAGAAATGCCTGTATTTTAATTTATATTTGTACATAACTTGGGTAACTGTAGTTGGATTTTTTCTATATGTAAAGGTAAATAAAATACAGGCAAGTATGAATACTGCAAAAAAAGAACTGTTAAAATTATAATATGTACTACTAATCTCTTTTCAGTTGAACAGTCTTGGGCATCTAACAAAGTACCTTTCCCTGACGGTATTCACTTTATTGATTGTTATTGAGTCAGCAAGAATATACTTAGGTCACTATGGCAACCTGTCTCGGAGGGTTAGTATAAGAAAATCTGTAGATATATGACCACTATTGGTATTATCCTACCTTTTAAAAAAATGTATTAAAATTCCAGGTACCAGAGCTAGCTGGGTTCCTGATGCTGACAATATTAATGCAAATGCCATTGGTCAGCTTCTTCCTTTTCAACCCATACCTGATGAGCACCCCAATGGAGATTACTCTACACACTATGTTATGGTTACTTACAATTACTGAAGTAATTTTCAGTTTTATGGCATTGAAACAAGCCTCTAACTTTGCTAAAAGCATTTACTTATCTCAACCTAAAGACAGGTGAACAAGAATTTGCTAAATATTTGGACATTGATCATCCCAATTAATATTATAAATGGGACAGTAAGCTTGTTAGTTGCTTCGAAATTTTTAAACATATACTAGGGAGTACTGATAAGTACAAGTAAGTAGATTTATTCATGCAGGCAATGCCAGAGGTAAAACTAGGTAGAAATACAAATAATAACTCACAAATTACATGAAAAGACTTTATTATGTTGTTACACAACATTAAATGCTCACTTGATTAATTAAGGACTTGAATATAAGTGTGAAAGTGTATGAAAGCAAAGCTTTGGTATTGGTAATAATTAAATATTAGTTGATACACATATTGTTGAACAAAATACAATCTAAATCAAGATCAAGATATTATAATAGCAATTATCAAAGTTTAAATATGTTGTACACTCATAATATTACTCAAATAAACATTATTTTATAATGAATCACACAAAATTCTATTTTCAAACCTTATAATACCTTTCCTGAGGTATTATGACATACCTAACATTAAACTATAATCTACATCTTAATTGTATCAAATATAACCTCTCGGTAAAATGTTTGGAGTCTTATAAAATTGTTACTTTGCCTTCAAATATTTCACAAGGCACTGGACATTATTTCTTTTTTCTAATCACAAATAAAAGATAAAAACAAATGTCTATAGGCTACCACACATCAGAATACAATTCATTAATACTTACTTTACTTTATCTATATGGAATATAAAATAAATAATAATATTTATTCTCATTTATTCAACTGTGAAATAGCCTCTGGCGCATTCTCTAACCTTACTAACACAGCACTATGGTACACTCTTAGGCATTATTATAATATTTGGTATTTAATACTATGTACAAATTAGCATTTAAAATATTTGTCATTCTTGTTCACTCATACTTCATTAATATTATGCTTTAAATAAAAAAATATAATTTTCAAATTAAAATAGAACATTTTACTTTATACTTTTTTAACTTTATACTTTACTGTTTTCAATAAATAATTACTTTTTGATTTGATCAGTGAATAGATTGTTTTCTGTGAAGAATTCGTCAATTTTATGTCTAACTAAATGCAAAGTTTTTTGAAAGCTTTCTATTTTTGTTTCAAATCCTTTCATGTCATTGTCCATTTCAAATGATTTAATTACTTGAGGAAGAGTTGGTGACATTTTACATATAAACTGAAAAAAAGAAATAACATCTTAGTTCATCTACTAGGCAATACACCACAAACATAGGAAATTAATTTGCATTAGTTGAGACTTAATACTGATTAAGCTAATACAAATCACAGAAGAATGAAAGTGTTAATTGATTATTTTTTGTGCAGCTAATTATAACCATGCTAAAGATATTTAATATACACATGATTGACAAGTAATACTTACAGAAAATATTTGTTGTGTGACCCAGTTGTGATATTTTTTTACTGACCCTTCATAAGCCACTGTAAATATCTTTTTCATAGATATATCAATGTCATTTGCTTGCACATGAGAGAGGATTTGTGAAAATAAAATCTCAAAAAATAGTAAAGCCCTGTAAAAGAAAATGAACAATAAATTAATAAAAGTTTACAAAGGAGATTATTTGATGGATGTGTTTTTCTTGTTTATTATTTTGAAACAACTGAATCAATTGATTCAGTTTAGTTTAGTTTTTATTAATAACCTTCTTAAATGAATAATTTATAAATAAAGACAATTGCTTCATTTGGCTTCAGGAAGCAACATTCAGTGACTGGCAATATTGAATTTAAAGCCAGCTAAACAACAAATCCTTGTAATAATAACATCTGTAGGTATGTATGTATCATTATTATATTATCATCATTATAATTTACTTATCAATTAGGGTATAAGATATTTATATGTATAAAATGTTACACACCTGTTTAGCCACAGAACACCTTCAGCTGCAACTGGCTGGCCATTAGCGTTTTCAGCAAGCATTAACTCCAGCAAGCAAGAGTTTTCATCATATTTGTAAATATTTTTTAATTTCTGAAACAAGATTGATATTATTATTATTTTTGCAATTTTAAATCCTTGAAAATGAATTAAGCATCGCCCATTTTTTATACTTACGTCGATATTTCCTTGCATGTCATATTTTACAGGAGCAAATACTGAGCCAAGGCGTTCTGTAAAAATAATAATAAAAAAATAAAATTAAAAGACCGCAAAAACCTAGTTTGGCTCTTGGAGGAAGTGATTAAGTGCACGCATACATACCTACTACTGCAATTAAATCTGTAGAGGCTTCTATAAATTCGTTTATATTTATTCTTCCATTTATAACCGGTGGAAAATGTTTTATACGGAGGAAAAAACAGAGCTCGCTAGTAGAGGTGCTTGCCATTTTCAGTACAGAGATACTACTAACATTGATAACTGATAAAAAGTTACGTGCCTAATATATATGTGTATATATCACTCATTTTATGACTCATTCCTTCAGTATTATCACTATCGAAATTGTGAAATAAACAAATACTGCTATTTTCAGAAGCACACAAATGTCAAATTTTCCGGTTGCCCACTATTATTTAGGGTTACCATTAAAATAAATTATGCACAGGAATTCACCACATTCAACTGTTTCTTCACGTTTTCCTTATTTACAGTTCTTAATCGTCTATACGTACTTCTAGATGAGGAGACAATTACTTTAAGTTTCTAATGTGAAATACTTTATTCTTCTCTTTTCGAATTTTTACCTTCCTTCAATTTTATTGTCAACTTTCCTAATACTGTTTCGCAAACTATTTAATATGAAAATGTCTGTTTTAACACGTTTCCCAAATCATCTTCCACTACTATTGTCAACACTTTAGTTTTAGGAGAAAAAGTAAATGGAACCAAGAATCTCTTTTCTGGTACAAGGTTAGTGAATTCATACGAATCTAAAACCATCCCATTTGATTCATCTCGTACTTCTACTATCCTAATGCCGGCTGTGGAGATGATCATCATTTTATTTTTGTCAAATTTTAAATATCTTGTTATTGCTTGTCTTTCTCTTCCATATTCATTATTGAACCAGCGATGATAGGATAGCAATACTGCGCAATTTCTTGTCCAGTAAATAGAATCATTCCCGTTTGTTCGATTAACGTTTTTCTTTGAATCCGTAAGCCTATTTGTGATGTTTGAATAAACACTAGATGGTCTGGTTATCGGAGTCACATTTGGGCTTCGTCTTATAATGTCTGATTTGGACATTGCAGCAAAGTTACCTAATGTTGTTTTACTTCTTGGTCCTAAAACTCGCAAAGGTTCCGCCACATTCATAGTTACACTTATATTACGCTGGAGTGAAACAGTTGAATGCTGTACTGGTTTTCCATTAAAGTTGTTCATGTTATCTTTCGCAAGAGCAGATCGTTTTTCCCCGGTAACAAATACCCGGTCTATATTGTCGAAACCTCTTCCCATAATACCGTCTTTGGTGTGCCCAAGATCAAATGTGTGACCGAGTTCATGGAATACTGAACCTAGTGTAGTTGCGAAACATCCTCCTAATGTTCCTCGATATCCACTGTCGTCCATGAATCGCCTTACGTTTACTGGGGTCGCATCTAAGAATTTTGGAATGATTTCTTCCACAGTCGTGGGCCAGGTATACAGACAAGCTGTCCCGAAAAGAGCCAAGCCTCCTCCTCCCAATGCAGCGTATGCTTCAGTAAGAGATACAATCTCTTCGTGTGTCATGGGCTTATCAATATCAGTACCTTTAAACCGAGTGCAGGATATGAAACCCAAGAATTTTCTTTCATTACTTCCTAAATCAGAAAGCATCAGTTCTCTTCCAAAATGTGACCATAACTCGGTTTGTTTCATTTTTCTGGCCTTGTTAACGTTAAGGCTGCTCTTGAATACAATGCATTCTGGCTTTTTAGGATTGACTTCATGTTCAAGTTGGAATGTTTTTCTTCCAATACCGCTCTCAAAAAGTTTTTCTGCTGTTAAACACTGAATCAATTTTGAACCAATCGCTATTCGAGAACAGGCACTTTCTATTGAATTGTCGATATCTGGTGGACTTTGAAAACATCCATCGTGACCTTGACATATGATGTAGACTGGAGTTACTCTCAGATTTGTTTTTCGTGGAGTATAATCTAGGAGTAAGGTTTTTCTTTGCTGTTCAGCATATTCGAGTTCAATAACATTTTCACCTCTTCTAAGTTCTATGATAACTTTAAATTCTCCATTATAAACGTCCCACTGAGTTTTGTTTTGAAGATTTTCACTTTTTAATGTGCACGTCAGTTTTTCATGATTATTCGAATTGCCTCTTGTTATGATTCCCTTAATCAAAACTAGGGAATAGTTCACGACGTCTCCATTTTGAAAATTCGTTATAAAAATTGAAGAGTTGTGTTCCGTATCGTTATCGTCATTCGCACGGTTGTCCATTACCTGAAATTATGTTTACATCACGTTAGATCTCAAGAATGAGTGCCTTTGGTAGTTGACCTTCACTAGGATCGGTACGCAGTTTTCTCGATTTCGTTTAGAGTATCAAACACCACATAATTAGGTTAATGCCATTTTGTGACGGGGATTACTCGAAGCAGTATTTGGAGCGGTTTTACGGCCTGGCATTTGTTGTATTAAATGGAGCGTATCGCTTTATTTATATTTTATCTAAACTTTAAAGGTCGTCGTAAATGAATAGATTCGCACTGTAGCAATGACTCACCATGATGCGGTTAGCGTGGAGCGCGCAGAACCGGCGCGGCAGGCGGACTGCGGGAGCGGGCGGCGCGGCGCGGCGGCTCTACTCGACCATTCGCAGCCAGCGTGCAGTGCCGTTCCTCCTCGCTTCTCACTAAACTTGGTCGAACGCTCGTGTCGTTGGTGTGCGCATGCCCGCCGATGCAGACCGACGCGCCTCGGTAACGATTGCGCTCCTCAGACAGGTACGCGACTAGCTGTCTCCACTGGCAAGAGGGAAATTTGAACAATGCAGTAAACATAGATGAGAATGCGCCACTATCATCCATCAAGTCTTTGTTGTTTGTTTTGCAAATGTTTATTTTCATTACTGTAGACATGATGACGATAGACTAATAGAAATAGCTATCTAGAGCTTGATATAACGTCTCTGTCTGAAACAATAATTGTGACCGTAGAGCTAACTGTTTATACTTAGGTGACACAGGCGCCGAGTACCCGTAAATACAACTTTTTAAGGTTTCATAGAATCCTTATAATTTGTTAGGGTAGGTTAAAAATACTTATTATAACTAATCCAAAGTGTTTACCTCAATTGTGTAACAAACTTAAAAGTTTTGTAATAGATACATATAGATAAAAAATGTTTCCCTGTTCAGGTCTTACCCTGTAGTTCTAGCTAAATGACTTCCATGGTGAATAAAAAAGTACAATATAAATAAAGTTATATAACTACATGAAAAATACACGTTGACGATATTAAATGAAAATGTTTTTGGCGCGCCACGCTTACGCCCTCTATTGTAATTTTCAACAATGATCTAGCAAGGTCGCTTTTCAGAATTTGTTCATAATCCAACTTATTTGTGACGTCTAGCTAGAGGTTTGATTGTCTGTGTGGCCTTAATACCTACATACATATTCGGCTCTTTGTTTTGTACATTACGTAGATTAATTAGCAGGATTTTGGTTAGGTATTTTATCTTTGGTGATCTGAAGATTGGAGAGAGTAAAGAGCTTTAATGTGAATTTATCACAATGAGAAGATAAATATTTGATAAATAAATAACAAGTAGAAAAAATATTATATTTCTAATATTGCGTATTTTAGAAAGCGGTATTTTTATGTATCTGCGTAATCGTAGGTTCACATAACGTTTTTAAACCGTGTAGAGCAAGAAAGTATGTTTTTATTTTACTACTGTTTTATACTGGCAAAAGAAACTTGGAATCATGCACGATAACAGGCTTTATTTTAAAACATTAAACGCGATTGGATCGATGCAATCTGTGGGGGTTTGCCAGACAACAAAGCGCCTGGCAAAGTTAAATAGAGCTAAATGTCTTCTCGTCTACAGATTGTCTGTATTTTAGCAGGCGCTTCACGTACTGAATTAATGGTGTTGTCGACACCCACAGTTAATTGTGAAATGTGATATTTGCTTTATAAATATACAACAAATTATGTTTGCTTAAATAAACTTATAATAATAGTGAAATTTAAATGACACGTTAACAGAATTTTTGTTTATTTGTATTACAAAAGGTAAAAGTATTGTTAATACGTTTCAAACCTACAACCGGTCAATTCAATGTTTTTATATTTTTATGTGCAAGGGAGATTATAGATTACCTGATGTTTAGTAATTGGCGCCACTCATGGACAAGACTTTTAATTGCTATTGTATTAATTAAAAAAAAAACATACTTATAAGGAAATCGCTTGTTCACCAGTTAGATAGGTATAAATATTCTATAGGTATAGGTATATATACATTAGATAGGTGTGTAGGACTGTGAATCAATTGTTTTAACAAATAAACGCAGAACAACACATTGGTGGTAGTAAGAGTTAACTAGGTCTGAGAGTGGAAAAAACATGAATGTTGAAAAACATTTCTGTCGTTGAGCGCCTGCTAACGATGTTACCCGACGCTTGCTTTTGTTTAATTCCACTGTACGCCGCATGGTAGCGCTTCGAGCGCGAACGTATTTACAAATTTAATTCTTCGTTTATTTTTCAGTTGGTAGAGTAGGGCAAATAGTGTTCTATTTACATTCTTAAAAACACATTTATATTCAAGCAATTTGTAATGATCTCGCATATAAATGACTTATTGTTGGCTCACAAAGTTATTGCTAAACTTTTTTCAAAATTCACAGCTCGTCGGCCATTTTAATTTACCAGAGGCTAATGGACGTCTCGCGGCTTGAATATTTAATTATATGGGAATGAAGGATCGTGTTTTGAGATGATGAGGAATGTAATATTCAGAGGGTTTGTAGAATACGACCATCGCACTGGGTCCGGCAGGCTGTATGTAGATAGGTACCTACCTATCTACATTCAGCCTAATACCACTACATACTAAATTCTGTAGCTTATCAAGTTACTTTTCTCCCATTTGTGTTTCTAATTTTGTTATAACTCCTGTATTTTAGCCCTAAAGTTACTGTCCTGTTTCCCTTGCAAAGCACGGGGGAATCTACTTGCATTCAGCAAGCTGATGAGGATGGTACCTAGATAAATGTGTACCTATTATTTTAATACGTAAGTTAATAAAATTTAATTCGTATCTTAACAACAATAAAAATTACCATTGATTAATCTGTGATAACATACAAATTAAATACGATGGACGTTGAGGGGTTGTGCTCTGTGCTTAAGTAGCTTCAGTTTTGCATACCCTTTACAGAATTAACTGGCGTAATGGAATATTTTGGTCAGCCAAGTTTATTTGACTTATTGTAAGTGTGTATTCCTAGGTGATAGGTCAACTAACTTCGTTTATAGCAACTTACGATTATTAAATGGAATTTATACCATCTTAAGTTTATCCTGTAGGGTCTTAAATAATAACTTGGCAGGTAGGTACTTAGCATACATAAAACATTTGTATTTACATGTAGATATGTGCAATACCTACGTATAAATTAAATAAAGTTACGTTATGTTACGAAAATTAATTTGAATATACCAAACCAATATTTTATGATAAAGAAATCGTTAAAAGTGACAAATCACCAATTATTGCACGCAACTGTACCTACCTACTTGCATAGTTCGTTCAACTCGGAGCCAAGTTTCAAATACCATGAGAAAATTAATTAGTAACAGCTCACAGTTTCTCATACTGCGCACAAAATATTATATTATGAATTATACATAGCAAACATTACGTTATCTCGTTATTGCTATGCGGATTTTGTAGTCATAAGGGATATTAATAATATATTTCTTCTTGACCAATACCAGTTGTCGTACATGCGTTAAATATTTTCAAGATACCATAAAGCTAAAATAAAGATTAGTTATCAAGACAGAGATCTTGTTTTAATAAAATCACAAAAGTACTTAGTAACATAAGCGAACAGAGTGGTGTATTGTTACTAAGCGCGTGGGCGCGTTGACTAACAAGAGGTCGGTGACGCAGTCGGCAATGTTTGATGATGATGACCTGGATGCAGGAAACCGACAGGGCTATCCGCAGGAGCCGGTCGTTGTCCCACTGAACGCAGCACTTTCGCTTTTATCGGCGAACGAACCCGGTGCCCGGTCCATTACTACCTCACTCACGCGGTTACACCATCACATACTGTTCAATTTTGGCTGCGTTTGTTGCTCCGGTATGCATACTAATAGCAATTTATTTAGGGTTGTGATGTTTAGATTTCTCCACGCTACGATCAACGTACCGTTCATTGTTTTTAAACTGTATTATTTATAAACTCGGTTGCATTGGGCACATATTAATCATGTTGCGTGTATGCGCACTTGTGGGTGGCAACACCGAGTTTCGGTGTTACGTTTGTAGCTAAGCGCCGTTCGTCAGGCGTATGCGGGAGTTTAGATTTGTGATTGTATAGTCACTGGACGCCATTCGCACATGTCTAGTATTCTAATGCAGCTCTAGAGGTGTATGCACTGACTGTATGAATGCATTGATTGTTAATGTACATGTACCTAGGTATTGATTGATGTCATCAATCCATATTATAAAGAGGAAAGATTTGATTGTTTGTTTGTTTCTATTGAATAGGCTCAGAAACTACTTGACCGATTTGAAAAATTCTTTCACTATTGGGAAACTACAATATTCCAGGCGAGCATAGGCTATATACCGAACCACGGGGCACTGGTAGTTATATTATAAATTGACTTGGTTATGTCTTTCAAGGCTAGACTTAGATACCTGCTGGGAAATACCCAGGATAGGTATTCTAGTTAATAGGTGGTATCATGGACGCATCGTAAATTATTACAGAGAGAGATAGAATTTTCCTAAATTAAGTAATGTTGGTAACTCATGGAGTATGAACAATTGAACAACTATTATTATTGGAGAGGAAGAGAACATTCAATAAATTGAGCATTTTAGCTTCTGCCTGTTCTTTAGAGCAGCCTTACTATAATATTAAACAGGAAATGTGAATCCTCATCTTAAAATTTGCTACGAATCCAAACCAATCTATGTAGCCGTAAATAAAGACCGTAAATTTATAAACTGTTTTGGAAATGTCGAAAAAACCTTTTTGAAACTTGATCGTCAGAACTTTTTAACACGTGTTACAGAGGTCGTACACAGTACTTATATTAATAGTACCTGACGACCTAGCAGTAAATTCTGTTTAAGTGATCTTTGAAACGGCATGATCGGAATTGAAAAAATCTTAAAAAGCGTGGTTGGTGGAGATATTTTGGGGTAGATTTTTAAAAAATGCTAAATATGCAGTTGAAATAGTGTGGTTATAGTCATTTTTATTAGTAAATACCAAAATGATTTATAGTGTATGAACTGGTTGGTATGTTTTTGTCGTGTACAGAGATCGCGTGATACTTTTATTGTTCAGTACGCCTAAATAAACATCGTAAAACAAGGTTATTGTAGCAAAAAGTTTAATTTATGTGAGCATGTGTAAGCATGTGGAAAATTGTGTTGATTTTTTTTTCTATGCGTATAAAACTTAGAGGCATGTGAAAGAAATAGTAACATAGATATTGGTATACTTTTTGTTGAAGGCGATATATATACATACCTATCTAATATGTGATGGATTTATACAGTCAACTTTTGAATCTTGGTTTTCCGGATGGCGAGATGAGATGGTCTGCTTCTTAGCATGAGGGTGCACAATCTGGCTAGTACCTACCAATGTAAATTTCCCAAGTACTTTCTAAGATTATGTAAATATATCATTGACTTATGGTGAAAGAAAATATCTTAAGGAAACATAATAATTTCTAATTATATGTTTGAAATCGCCAATCCATTTAAAACAAGCGTTTTGATGAATGGTCGTACCCTTTTCGTATGAGAAGAGGCCTTTGCTCAGCAGTGGGATCATACGCTGATGATGACGATGATGATCTTTTAAGACATGATGATGCTTACCAGTTTCCTAAAACTTGTCACAATGTCTGCCACAGGGCACTTG